ACACGCCCCGACATACTCATCACACTACCCTACATCAGGAGCACGTCGGAACACACCACATGACTCGTACCACCGCTGGGCATCAGAGTGGCACACAAGCCCCCGTCAACTCTACAACTGCTCACCCAAACTAAAGACCCAATCCCTGCCATGGACAGGACCAATGTCATCTACAAGATTCCCTGCAGTGACTGTGAGAAGCACTACATCGGACAAACAGGAAGGAAACTAACAACGAGTACATGAACACCAACTGGCTACAAAAAGACACGATCAGTACTCACTCATCTCAATACACATGGACACGGAGAACCACCATTTCGACTGGGACAACACCAAAATCCTGGGATAAGATAGGAAGAGAGAGGCATGAGAATTCCTAGAAGCCTGGCACTCCATGAAGCATGCTATTAATTAACATATTGAACTCGACCCCATACACATTCCACTACGAAGGAAAACCGGAAGTGAGGCAATCCATCTCAACAGACGCCAGAGTTTAAAAACCAGGCGGGAGAACACACTGACGCTTCATCGGAGGCTGCACTGAGGATGTTACCCAGCATGGTAACGAAACGTCTGCGAAACAAGAAACCAGCTCGGCGAGCCAACCAATCTCAATAAACACACCTTTGGCGAAGGCACATTCAATAAAATAGATTGTCTGATATGCAATTCTAGCAGCAGAAAGAGAACCCCTGCTTTTAGCTGTAACAGAGAGATGATTAAGAGCTCCCACATCCAGCATGAAGAACCCAGGAACTGCGTCTGAAGGCTAAAACTAAAAAAAAAATCCTGGCTGTCTGGGTGCTCGACCCCCATCCATTCAGGCTACTTCTGTTGTTCCAACTTTAAAAAAAAGAAAGCCTCACAAGCTGTATACTTTATTGGCTTTGGAACAGGCTGCTCGTCACACCGCCTCAGTCTTTCTTCATAAAAAAATCCAGGAAAAAGTAGACCTCTCAATGCCATATTATCGTCACAGTCTCAAGCTACAATATTCTCCCAGTATCACATTCCTTTTCGCGCCTTCCACTTAATGTATGCCACGGTGCCATAGTCAATAAGCTCATCCACCATTCAATCCCCACTCCGATGTAAAGAAGCTTAAGGAACCTCAAACCTATTGGACAGTTGTAAGGAAGAGGCTCTTGTGCTTCTGCTTTTGTGAGTCCTTTTATCTCCCTCAGTTGCAGTCACATTCTCCTGTCCTTAAACACTGGTCAAATAAGAAGACCCTATCTAAGAGTTGTGACTGTGTCCTGATGAAAAGAATCCAGGTAACTTTAACCCTCCTTGATGCATTTCTTGAAGCAGTGCCTTTGGGAAAAGCAATGACAAAACTGGTAATGGAAAAATTAGTCCCTTTTTGAATAAAATATGGATTACCCAAAGAAATCTAATCAGATCAAGGTAAACGTCTTTTCAAATATTTAAAAATAATGAATGGTTTGGCAGTAAAGCTGTTTACATCTTCAGTTTATCGCCCACAATCTGAAGGTGCATTAGGAAGATGACATCAGAGCTTACAACCATGATTTTCATCAAAGTTGTCTTCAGAATTTTAAGAGGAATTCCCTTGTTACTGTTTAACATTAGGGATGCCCCCAGTGAGTCCACAAGATTCAATCGTTTTGAATTCTCACGAGGGCATGAGGTGAGAGGACCTTTGAGGTTCATAACTTTTTTAACTTAAGCTCAGACACCACACTTCTGATCAAATGTAGAGAAAACCTAATCAAAGCATGCGAGTTAGCCAAAAGTCAGTTGACATGTTCTCGGTAAGCAATGAAAACTAAAGCAAATCAAAAAGCAGAGCTTGGAATTTAGTTCCTGGGATAAGGAAGTGATGTTGCCATCTGTCTCTGGCTAGCCATTTAAGGTGAGATTCACTGTATCTTATTGAATCAATGATGTGAATTATGTAGTGAATGCTTCAGGCAGGAAAAAAATGTCAGTATGTGTGATTCAAGTCAATATGTTAATGAGATACTGTGATGGGAGGACAGTCAGAACAGAAGTACATTCACAGTGGTGAATACGACTTACTTTTATCTCAAGCAATTTATTTATTTTTTATGAACTGATACTCCACTCTACTATTTCAAAAAATTGATTTGCCCAATCAGAATGAGGATCAAAATCCCTCACGAATAATGAGTTGAGTTTATACTAGTTTTCAAGTTTGAATCTTCTACACTCCATGTTGAAGCAGCATTCAATTAAACAGGGCCAAGAGATCCAACACTTAACTGATCAGATCTAAGCTCTACAAACCTGCCACATCCAGTCATGAATGGTGGTGATCAGGTAAACAACTAACAAGAGGTGGAGGCTGCATAAATGCTCACCCTCAATGTATAAGGAAGCCAACACATCAGTGCAAAAAATAAGGAAGAAGCATTTGAAGTGTCAAGTAGATGATCCATCCTAACCTCCTCCTGAGGACCCAGTAACACAAATGCCGGTCTTGAACCAACTGAAATCACTTGATGTAATATTAAGAAATGGCTAAAGGCAGTGGATATTGGAAAGACTATGGGCCCTGGTAACATTCTAACAATAGTACTGTAGACTTGGGTCCAGAATTAGCCAACATGTTCTAGTCGGTAAAACACTGAGTGAACAATAGAGAGAACTAAACCATTACTCCTTGATTTTCAAAGGCATTAACATGGCTGCTTCATCCGCTTTCAACATTCTAGAATTACCATTGACCAGAAGCTGAACTGGACTAATGATATGATAAGTGCTATGGTTACAAGAGTAGGTCAAGGAGCTCAACCGCATTTAAGGCAAAGCAGCCTGCTTGGTTGACAATCCATTCACCACCTTCAACAATCACTCTCTTCACCATGAATGCACGGTAGCAAAAATGTGTGTCTCTACAAGATGCACTGCGGAAACTCAGGAAGGTTTTTCTGACAGATGTTCCAAATCCATGACTTCTACCCCTCAAAGAGCAAAAGCAGCAGATGGATGTGTAAACTACTATCTGCAACGTCCCCTCCAAGCCACACACCAACCTGACTTAGAAGTATATTGCTGTTACGTCATAATCATTTTCTAATGCTTCGTGTCTTCTTTCCAAACTGCACTCTAGTTGTCTATATATTCCATTCACTGCAACAATGCAGAAGGCAGCTCAGTACCAGCTTCTCCAAAACAATTAGAGATAGGCTGACCCAGTGATGCCCACATCCCATGACCGCATAAAAAAACTCTGGCTGACAGGACCCATTTTCTTTGCTTTTTCCAATACCCAAAGCCATATTTTAACATTATTTGGCATTGGTTTAATTCACTGAAGACTTGTGTCTGTGATTGTGAGGCTGTCAGGGGAGGCCAAATGGACCAGGTGCTCAGTATTTCAGACTGAAGCATTTACCAATGTTGTCGGTCAGGTATTTTTGCACTGATGTTCTGAGCTCCCTCAACACTTGGAATGTTTGTGGAGCCTCTTGTCATAGATCAGACTAACCCCCTTCAAATATATTGAGGAGATAGCCTAACCCTAACTTCTATTTTATTTGAAGGCAACTGTAAGGTGCTGTGTTCCAGATGTAATTCGATTGGCTACACTATTCGGTTTTAAGCAAAACACACTGTATTCTTGCCGTACAGTTAAAATACAAACAAATGAAAGAGGCATTGGTATAATTTGAACTCTATTGGAAAACTTAACAGAATAATAGATTATTTAACTACTAAACAGCAACTGTTCCAATATAGTAAGATCCCATAATCACACCCTTCACAAATGCAAATTCAGTAAAATAGACTGTCTCGCATGCAACATTTCTCTAGTCCAGGAGGAAAGAACATCAAGAGAAAATTCTGGCAGAGGGAGAGAACTCAAGGGTTTTGCTTTAGAAGGGAGAAATGTATGCCACCTTCAAAACCCCAAAAAACTACTGAAAGCTACACTAAACACCTCGTTAGTGGGAGCCTGACTCCACCTATTCATGCTGCTTCTATTGTTCCAACTTTTTAAAAAAAAAACCTCAAGGCCTCACATGCTGTTTACTTCATTGGCTTCTAATATACATCTCTTCACCTCTGTCTTAAAACCTCTCTTCCAAAAAACCAGGACAGAATGCACCTCTTAAAGCCATAATATTACCATACTCTATCCTGGTTCATTGTTTAAGTGCCACGAACGTTGACTGCTGATCCCATGAAGTCTCATGGCATCACATCAAACGTGGAAAATAATTCTGGTAACCATCCTGCCTCAACTGATTAATCGGTTCTCCTCCCTATTAATACCATTTGAAAAAAAAATCTGATTTTTTGTGGATGGAGAAGAGAGCTTTGGTCTGGTTGATTTGAGTTGTTTTGGTTTGCTTTGTACTGTGCATTGTATGCTGCTTCTGTTGTTTACCAAGCATGAACTCCAATGTTGTTGCTTCACTGGGTTGGGTTTTAAAGCATTATTCATACTTTGCCTGCTGTACTCCCCTATATTTCTCATGTAACTACGGTTTATACCTTGAGATTAATGGTAGAGTGAGTCATATGACAAACCATGAGGTTACAGATTACAATGATGTGCTATTCTCCTATCTAATGGCTCACGGATGCCCAGTTTTTGGATATGATCTGAATCCAAACCATTCATCACAGTTGTCATGCCATAACGACTTGCTGGAGGTGCCCTCTATGTCAAGACAGGACTTTGTCTCCTTAACGTTTTGGCGTGGTTGCTCAATAAATACTGCATCTGTGCAATGGATTGGTGAGGATGTACTCAAGTATGTCTTCCCTTTTGTTGATTCTCTTACCAAACAGTGTCAGTCTGTTAATTATGTCCTTCTGATTTTGGACAGCAGTGATTTTGCACTGCCATTCTTCATGATAGTCGCCTACTCATAGTACATTCTGTGCCTGTGCTACTCTCAGATATTTTTTTCCAAATAGTGTTTAATAGGGAGGAGAACTGATTAATCAGTTGAGGCAGGATGGTTGTCAGAATTATTTTCCATGTTTGATGTGATGCAATGAGACTTCATGGGGTCAGCAGTCTAAGGTGAAGATTCCAGAGTCACACTCTTCCAACTGTATACAGCTCATGTTACTTGTATTTTTTGGACTAGTTATGGATTTGTCTTCTTCTTAATCTGAAGTTTTGACTCTAATTATTTAAGTCTACAAAGAAAGCTGATTGTAAATACCTAATTTTTCGAAAAAATGTTTTGCAGCTTGACAGATTTGCCAGTATCCGAGTTCCAGGCAGCAAACGGAGCAGACCAGTTCTCCCAAATGTCAGGCAAGCACATCTTTCGAGTCGTGGCTGGTCTGCACAATCAGCAGAATATGAATATCCCTCTAAGCAGCTCCCAGAGAAGGAAGTTATTTCACTCTTTGAAAAGATGATGGTAATTACGAGGCTTACATCGTAAAGTTTTATTTGCTTAATTCTTTTGAACTTCATTCCTTTGAACAAAAATGTGAAAATATTAGGTGGTTTTAGAATTGCATGTGAGGTTTTTGAGGAAAGTAATCATAGATCATAGAATCCCTACAGTTTGAAACAGGCCCTTCAGCCCAACAAGTCCACACTGATCCTCAGAGCACCCACTCAAACCCACCCCCTATAACCCACCTAATTTACACATCCCTGAACACTACGGGCAATTTTAGCATGGCCAATCCACCTAGCCTGCACATCTTTGGACTGTGGGAGGAAACTGGAGCACCCAGAGGAAACCCACGCAGACATGGGGAGAATGTGCAAACTCCACACAGACAGTCCCCGCAGGGTGGAATCGAACCCAGATTCCTGGCGCTGTGAGGCAGCAGAGCTAGGTGCTGTGCCACTGTGTCGCCCCTTTGATGGTCTACGAATTATAGGTCACTTTCATTTATAGTGCACCCTGAAAACACCTTTTCTGTTCTAATATGGATTGTAAATTGATCACCTTAATTAAAAACAACTTTTAGTTTGATTTAATACAGTTTCTAAGCATGTAATATATGTTCTCAGTTCCTGAGCAGGTGTATAAGTAACACATGCATTGTGCACCATGCAGTGAACTTTGTTTGTGATTAGCTCTGTGCATGTGTTATAAACCACACTTGAACTGTTTTATATGTTGACATTGCAAAAATGAATTCTGTGAAGATTGCACATCACTGTCTGGATGCTTTATTTGCACTTGGAATTTTTATTTTTAATTTGACATTCACTGCAAATTATGAATACGGCTGTATTCTTTGGTATTGTACAATAAGTGGTCTACACCATATAAAATTTAACTGAATTATGCCTCAATAACAACATACTTCAACTCTCCCACTTATTCATCGAGAGGTTAAGTTACTTGGATTTGGGCATCATGAGTAAGGTGAGTGTGTGATTAATGTTGCTAATGTCATTGATCTCGCAAGAAAACATGGGTTGCCAGGAACAGTTTTGAAGATTGGTTTATTTCTTAATGCTGTGCTGCTGTTTAAAATCATTGCAAAGGTAAGAAAACTTGCCCATAAAGCATTGTTGCTTCCAGACAATGCCACAGGTCATCCAAAAACTTGAAACATTTGTCTGATAATATTAGGTTTGAATTTCTCCCAAGAATATCGTAGCTTTTGAAGGAAGATGACAATGCTGGAGACAATGAAGAGACCAAAGTAATTTGTCAAATCACAATAACAATATTAAGCATATTACTTAGTTGCTGTCCATTTCTGCAGCTAATTGTTCAAGATATGAATCCCATGATAAATTAGAACTTCAGTGTTTGTCGTGAATTGGATAAATCTACTGCATGTTATAGAGCGATCTACAGACAAAGACAGAAGTTTTCCAAGCAGACAACGATGGGCCAGTTTTCCCTCCATGAACTGCACCAATTGAAGTGACCAAGTCAGATAGTGAGGAGCCTTTTACAAATATCCATAGCGTTCAGTACGTTAAATGCCAACGTTCGACCAGCTATAATTTTATTTTTACTTAGACCTGTGTTTCAGTGTTTAATGCAAGTTACATTTTTTTGTGTCTTAAGAAATTGTCAGTTGGAAAAGTATCCCACACTTATCACATGCAGTTTTCTTGGAAATTGGATTTTATTAAATTTTTTGATAAGCTAAATGAGTTATGTGGCTATAATTTGGTTTTGGGACTCTGTAGTAATAAAAGTTGTAGAAGATCATGTGCTGGTGAATAGCTATGATATTTTGTTTGGTTTTATTAACTCAGAGCTTAATGTGCATCTTTAAATGTGTGCCTTCATTCACCCTCATCTTCAGGGCACTGTCAGTAATTTTGTCACTGTAATGCTGTACTTTGCTTCGTATTTAATGCAGCAGATGTCTGCAATTAATTATTAATAATGTCATCCTGATAATACTTAATTTAATCATACGATCATGAGAAATAGGAGCGGGTATAGGCCATTCGTCTCAATGCATCTGCTTTGTCATTCACTAAGATTAAGGCTGATGTGATGATGGTATTAACTCCATTTTCCGATCTGTCCTCCATAACTCTGAACTCCCTTGTCAATCAAAAATTTGTCTAACCCAGCTTGACATCACCACTGCTCTTGGTAAGGGCATAAAATGTCAAAAATTACTGATGCGCTAAAAGAAGAAATTCTTTCTCATTTCCAGTAAACATTGGAAACCCTTTATATTAAACTACCCTGTAGTTCTGGATTGACCAGCGAAGGAAAATATACTTATAGCAATTACGCTGTCAAGCTTTCTTGGAATCTTAAGACTTCTTCTAAACTCAAATGAGTATAGGCTGAACTTACTTGATCTTTCTTCCAAGGACAACCGCTTTTATTCTGAAATCACCCTAGTGAACCCTTTCTTAGTGCTTCCAGTACAAGTGTGCCCCTTTAAGCAAGGAATTCAAAACTGTATGCAGTAATTCCAGTGCGGTCTCTCGTGTCCTGTACAGTTGTAACAAGACTTTCCTACCTTTATACTCTAGCCCCCTTGCAATGCAGTCATGGCATTTTTGCTGATTGGACTTGTTGTTGCATCCATGCCCGATTTAGTATGTTGAGAGTATAATTCTTACTCTGGAGACGAAAGCCACTTTTATCTATGTTGTACTTTGTTGTTTTCTGAGAGATTGCTGCATTATCAAATGTGCTGCCTCTTACATGAGGCTTTGAATTGTCAAAATGTCTGTTTAGGTGGTTGCAAATTCCCTCCTTTACACCTTACAGAAAAGAAAAAAGAATATTCTTGTGTCTTGATCAGTGTTTATCTCTTAAGCTAACAAAATTCAGCAGATGAATGGTTCATACTGTTGTGGAATCTTGTTGTACATGGATTTGTTACTGGATTTGCCAGCATAGCTACAGAGAATGCACTTGTATCATACGTTAAAGAAAATTCTTTATTGGCTATACAGCACTGGGAGTGTTCTGCGAATGAGAGACACAAAAATTTTAATGCTTTTGCTCTTCATACATCTATCTGATCTGATTTTGGTAAGACTGCAGTGTGAAACTTTGAAAATTTTCTTACTCAGATTTAGAAGGTGAGCTTTTGTGCACTCAGGAATTTGGGAAATTATTAGTTGAACCTCTGCTTTTAAAGTTCACAGTGGATAAATGACAACGCTAGTGAATAAAGACTTTGGGATTGTATTCATTAGATGTAAGTGATGACATAGAAAACAATGCATTTCCAGCAAGTTAACTTGAGCTAATTACCTTCACAGGAAGATATGAACTTAAATGAAGAACGAAAGGCTCCACTACGTGAGAAGGACTTGAGTATTAAAAGAGAAATGGTTGTGCAATATATTGACGCAACTTCTAATATTGTGAGTAAAATATTAGCCATTTGTGATTTTTCTTGGCAAATAGTATGATTATCAATGCAGTTGACATTTGAAAAAAAGTTGAATGATAAAGAGCTTTTCCAGATCTCAGACAGCTGAAAATCATTCAGGTGGATTTAATGAAACTTGGGCTTTCTTGAAATCGATTCAAATTCACTACCCAATTTTTAAAAATGTAATTTAACTAGGATCTTGTGACACTGTTCAAAGCAAACATTTCAAATTCATATTTGTGTGCATTGTACTCTGTATTTCCCACCACTTTGTTAACAATTTTTCTGTACGAAACGTTTCTTGTGCTTTTACAATATGGAGTATGCTACAAATGCCAAGATGGCTCACAAAATCGCCACCTCCTGTGTATATGCTGATGATGCCAATGAATCCTGGCATTCGCCTAGGCTGGGAATCAAGTCCATGTGATAGTTAAAGAAAAATAATCATTAACAGCAATATGGAACAAACCTGAGTGATAATTTATTTGAAAGATAAATGGAAGTTAGAAGTATTTTTAGTTGATGCATCCCTGTGTCTACTTTTATTGGGCAAAATCCTCCCTCAGTTGATCAAATTGAGTTCAGAGTTTGGAGATTTGATTTGTGAAACTTAAACGTCAACGAAATGTGATGACCAAGATTGGAACCCAAAATGAAGAATTTCATTAATTTTGTACCCAAGGGGTTGCAGATAAAACTGTTCAAGAAAGCTGCTCCAACGCAATCACTTTATCAGATTTTTCAAGTGTTAGAAATGGATCATGTGAAAAGCATTATACAATATTCATGTGACCTCATTGCGCATGTGTGCTCTTTGTGCCTCCAAAAGATACATTCATATGTAAAAACGTAGGAAGAAGATGGTAGTCATTTTCCCTGAATTTAAATTTATTTTCTTTGGGAACAAACAAAGGAATTTTAAATTGCCTTCGGGAAAAATAGTTGTAGCATTGTTATTTTAGTGTTTCTGATCTCTTGAATATGAGTGACCTATGGCTGTTGACTATCTTGAGAAAAATGTATAAGTTATGCACTGTTAGTATTTATCTGTTGCCCTGTTTTTACTTTGGATACATGAGTTCCAGTCTCAAATTTTTCTCTCAAAGAAGATTATTATTCATCTTCTCAAAGTGATAAGAAATGTGTACTGGATATTTCACCTGACCTTTATTGGATAACTCAGTGATGCAAAGATATATTTATTGTTTGTTCTGATGGATAGTGCTTCTGTCCTTTGAGCACTGAAAATCATGGATAATGCAGATTTACCTTTGGAAACTGCTGTTTACAGTGAATGTCCAGAAAGTGTGGGCCAAGATCCTCACAATGAGGAGACATGCAAAAGGCAGATAATTATTTTTTCAAAATCCCTTGGCATTGCTAACAGACAAAAAAAATCACTGAACTTCTGAAACTGGGTTCTTGCTTCTTTCCCAGTTTCTAATTTTATTTGTATGCATTTCTTTTCCCTATAGATCCATAGTCATAGTTTTTTAACATGAAAGAAAGCCCTTCAGTCTATGGTTATTGACACCTCTAATAACTGGAAAGGTTTCTGCCCATGTACCCTATTTATGCCTTTGGAACTTTGAACTCCTTAGTCAGGTCCCCCTCAGACTTCTCTGCACTAAGAAAACAACCAGTCTGTTTAGTCTATTTTTATCACCTAATTGCTCCAATCCAAGCAACACACTGGTGAACCTCTTCTGCACCCCCAGTCGTGCAATCACATTCTTGCTTTAACATGGCAACTCGAATTGTACGTAGCACTCCAGCTAGAGTGTAGCTGACGTCACATACAGCTCCATCATAACCTCTTTGCCTTGATTAATACAGGCAAGTATCCCACATGCCTTTTTAACCACCTCATCTACCTGTCTTGCTACCTTCAAGAATCTATGGATATGCACACTAAGGCCCTTCTGTACTTTCCAAGTTTCGCCTATTCAACTTGTACTTCCTTGCCTTGTTATTCTGCCCAAAATACATCACCTCACTTCAGGATTAAATTGCATTTGTCACTGTTCAGCACAACTGACCAGCCTGTCTATATCATTCTGTATTCAAAGACTTTTCTCCTTTCCTCAACTGCACAACCTTCATCTATCCTTCAGTCACCTCTTCAAAACATTCAATCAAATTTGTTAGATGTGATTTCCCCTGACAAAGTCATGCCGACTATCCTTGATTAATCCATGCCTGTCCAAATTGAGATTAACTCTGTTCTTCAGACTTCTTTCCAATAGTTTCTCTACCACTGATGTTAGACTCGCTGGCCTGCAGTTTCCTGCTACTGTCTTGAATCTTCCAGATGTGTTCTTTTTGCTCTTGTATTTACTTTATGACTTGCATTTTTCTCACTGTGGGACTGTGAGACTGTCTAGATGATGTTAACTGAGTAACATGATTCTTTATATTTCCTGTACTTCTGACTTGCTACCATTTCCATGCTACTGGGTAAGATGGCTGTACCACTTTAGATTATTACTCAACTGAACCACTTTGTTTTGTTTATGTACCTTTTTTGTGCATCACCTCAAATTAAATGTCCCATTTGAAAGAGTGCTCCTTTTTCTGCATTTTTAAGAACCTATAAACTCTTTGTGATCATTTTTAACAAATATACTTTTAGCATGCTGTCACAAAATGGAAACTTCTTGAATTAAAATATTATTCATGGCATTGATGATGTCTTTGAAAAATGTCTCTTGCATTTTTTCCGTAAAGTAACAGAAAAAAAATTTAACAAGTTGACAGTTGTCTAAAGGCGCTGTAAGTAAAATGAGGGTTGTGCTTTATATCTGCACAAGTAATCATTTAGTATGCGCTCTCTCACTGTGCATGCTTCATCTTAAGGCATATGTTATGAAGAAGGAGAGGTTAACTGAAAAATATCCCTGATTTCACTTTATAAATAATAAGTAACGATTTATTTATTTAACCCTAACAGTGAACAAATTAATAGAACAATCAACAAACTGAACAATTCCACCCAACTGCTAACTACTCCCCCAACTGAAAAAATTTCTACTGGAATGCTACTCCATTAAACACAAGGCCCACTTATATAACTCAAATAGTGAGAAGAAAAAAATGTAAAACTTAGTTTCTCAAAGACCACACAGAATGTGTCTTTTGGAATTCTCTGCCTTCGCCACTGTCTCTCCAGTCATAAATGACTTTCTTCTGCTGTTCTCAAGTCATAAACACCTTTCTTCTGCTGATCCTGCTGTCAGGGATGTTTTCTCTGTGAAAACTCTTAGCTAGAAGTACCCTGGTACCTTTTATGGATAAGCTGGTGCTTACTTAGAGAGGCTAGCAATTTCTTGTGATTGCTAGGTACTTATTTCTCAGATGGTGGTTCGCTCTCCCACTGATTTTCAAAATCCTCTCCTCACATACATGGATGACATATCAATTTTCTTACA